AAAACCCCTGCAGCGGCCTCGCGTGTCGGAAGACGATAGTCGTCACAGTGACTGTTATATCAAACGGGGTCGAGATTGCGATAACGACTGGAACATACGTAGGATACACGGTTTACGTACCTACACTCGTACCGAGTAGTTAGCGAGAACGTACTTTCGTCCTACGCACGAGAGGCTACAATGTCGTAGAACCCTTCTACCCCCGATCCGCGTTCATTTAACTGTTGCATTTACATAAGCTCCATTCCCTAACTCTTCGCGCGGTTTAAACAATTATATAAAACTGTTATCAGTTTTCGTTGCGTTACGGACAAATATATACTTAGCATACGAACGGAGCAATTGAAATCTAGATCTCGTTCCTCGAGTAAAGATCTGGATGAGAATCGGCGGTAGCGTAATTTCTACGCCAGTGGGTGGTACGTATGTAAAGGAAGCCCCGGTACGTAAGCCGGAACGGTGGTGTTCGTGGCCGAAGCCAATCTCAGCGTCGGCTGGCCATTTGGCGTTTCCTCGCTCGTGCACACACGAGCTTGTCTTTTATTCCGTTTAACCCCTGCCTCTGGAGGTGGCTCAACCCTCGCGGAGAGGGCCTGGTCAGCTTCCTAAATGATTAATTACCGATCTCCATCGCGCGGAGGGATCCCGCAGGAAGGCGGGTCGTTGGACGGCCTTAAAGTAAGCTCATTTCTAAAACGGATATTCCGTGTTCCGCGTGCCATGCCACGGCATTCGGTGGCCACCACCGTTTGCTGCCACTTCGCTGCCACCCCGTTCAGTTGCGTAAGACCGATCCAAGGGGTTCTCTTCGCGTGGCTCGACGCGAGCTCAGATTGCGAGCTCGATACCGTTACACACACGCACACACACGCCCACACTCCTTTTCTAGCTAAATGAAATGCGCTACGTGCCAGAATAAAAGTTTTCCACCCCCGTTTGCCTGATCGATGAGCTAGAAAGTTCTAAACGATAGTGTAGCTACATCTTATAACTTACCGATCTTTCTTCGATCATAAGAAAGCGTGGCTAAATATCAAGTTAATTAAATCAATTTTCTCTAAACTCTAATACAACAACATTTGTTCGTCGTTTACCTTTTGCTCCAATTATTATTTTACTGCAAGGTGAAAAACAATTTGATCAAACCAAGATGTTTTGCGTAAGGATAACAGAGAATCTCAGCGAGTGGGATCCTTTCTCTCCGGTAGCCACCCGTTCCGTTTGCCGGTACCTCCGACTGTGCGCGCGTTTTCGTGCGATACGCTGTGTTATCGTTTGCATTGCAAATGGCAACCCACCCCGCCCACATTCAAACACATCGAGGATCGAGGAGCGTGCACGTTTTATGGTGAAATCGGACGCGTGTGCGAGCCGATATATATCGAGGTCCTACGCGGATGAGTCACGGTGAATCGGAACAACCCTAACGATGCCCTCTTAAGGGTACGACCTGTCGGATTTCGACACGTCCCGTCGCTTCCCAAAATTATTTTTTCACCAAATCGTTTCGCAACGTGCTGAGACACTAAGAATGACGAACCTAATGAATTTCACTGGCAATTCGTGAAATCCAAGGAACGAAAATACAAACGTCCTCTGGTCTTTTAAACTTCAAGGCCATGCCTCTTCCTCGGATTCGTATTTTAATTCGGCTCGCATGTTTTCGCGTACCGCCCCCGCAACTCACAGTCTGGCAGGAGTTATTTTTTTTCCCTCCTTATCCGGAGCCAGGTTTACTTAAGATATTAAAGTACTCACCCTCCCCCGGTATTCTTTCATCTCTTCTCTCTCTTTCTCTCTGTTTCTCCTCGTCCTTCCCGGGGGAGTTACGAGGTACCTCTCGGGAGCATCCTCGAGGGAGTTCGGTGGACTCCGCTTAATTTGTAAGCGGATTTTTGCACTAATCAACGGATTTAAGAAGGACAAACGGAATAAAGACGCGGCGACGGCAGGGGGAGAAGAAGGAGAGAGGCCAAAGACGGGGGACAAGAAAGTCATTTGAATTTATTTTAATTATACTAACGAACAGGCCGCAGAACGAGGGCCTAACGAATTATTTGCTCGAATATGATTGCGCGGAATTTCTAACGAGATCGACCGATCTCCGAGTCTTTTGGGGCGGGGGGAGTACAGGGGGGAATGGTTGTTACCACTGACAGGCATCCATCGTCGGAGCTCTTTCTAATTTTCGAGGTAACCCTTTTCGTGTGCCGAGGTGGCGAAGAAAGAAACCGGCGCCCACAGCTCCGATCGAAAGGACAAGGAAAAAATGGTGGACGTGAGACTGCATTCTTTTTCCATCGGACTAATAAATCATTTTGTTAGCGACGGAGACGTTGAAGAAACAGACGCGCGATAATGGATCGCGCGATTATTCACGGATCTCGTATCGATCGCGAGCGATATTGCAAGTGACTAGCGTGACCGGGACACGAGACGAGCGACCGCCCTCTTTTGCATCGGTCAGGGAGAGACTTGGTACACACGCTTATTATGCGTAAAACCTTACAGAACATTTTCCCACTGGAAACGCTTTCCCTCGCGAGAAGCATAGCTGTAGGTGTTCGCAGCAGATTTTATCGCAAATTACCGTGGATAATGACAGCTAAGGCCTGACGATTCCACGTTTCTCACGAGGAAGGCGTTAGGAATCGTCGATGTAAACAGTGCAATGGTCTCGTTCGGGCCTGATCGAATTTAGGAGGACAATGAGCTCCCGGGACTGGTTGATCGTATTTCTCTCCGGCGCTCGTTAAGGCAGAGGAAAAAAGAGGAACGAAAGGGGGATGAATGTCCGCCCTTTTCGAAGGTGGGAGAGGAACGGAGAAAAGAAAGCGTGGTTTCCTTAATGAGAAGTACAGAGTAAAGCTTTCTTTGCGCGTCGTTTTGCCTGGAAGTCGGGTTCCTTCACCCCTCGCAAGAGACTTCCTGCGGCGTGTCGGGGCCGCCGCGAACAGTCGAATCGGATCCGCGGCTTCGCTCGCCCCGTGTAGACTTTTTTTCCGGCCGAGCGGCTGAAATGCTTCTTGTGTAAGTAAAAATCTAAAGTGACTACCGAGATCTAAGTTTTAATTAGTTTATCTTGGCCGCGTGGCCATTGAATATTTATGAGCTATCGCGCGGCCGCCGCGCCGGTCCGCCGCGAGAGAGCAATCAACGAGAGGAGAGAGAGAAAGGCGGCGGACCCTCGCAAGCCGCAGAGAGTCGGGGATGCTGCCAGGAAAAGGGGACGAAGAATGAGATTCCACCGTCTACAGTCTACAGAAAGGAACCGCCTGTGGTTACTGTCATCCTATGGGATTTAGCTTTCGATGTTCGCCCGGATACGATTGCACGAAAAATGGTCGAAAAAAAAGTGGTGACGCTTAGTTAAAGCAATTAACGCATTGCGACAAGGACACAACTTGCACTTATGTAACATCGGCTTTACAACGCTTGAGTAAATGCAAAAAGAATTGTTACGGGCAAAGGGTTGGGGTTAAAGCTAGTCGGAGTTTCCAGCGAAATCCAAGGGTTGGAAAAGAAGCGGGAGGAAGAAAGAATCTATAAGTCCATAAATCTGCAGAGCCAGGGGAAAAGAGGGCAAAGCAGGTCGGAGAAAAATTTATGGCTGGTACCGTAAAAACAAGGGCAGCAGGAATTTTTATTTCCACCAGATTCGAATAATATTCTTTTGGCAAAGGTGTTTGGCGTCGTCGACATTTTTCCTAAAAACGATTTTCCGTTCTTTTATCAGTAAAATTCGATCGAAATACCATGTTAACGCATTAAACGGGAATCGAAGCGGCGTTATTTATGAAAGCGTGTGAAAGCTCTTCAGAAATGAAATCGAGCGTGAAAAAGAAGAATGACGGAAACGTCGCGCGCGGGCGGTTAGGCGGGAATTGTCGGCGATGAAAAAGTTGGTAGAGAAATAAGTTTCCCGTCGTGCCCATTTGCCGAGCGTCATCGCGCTTTCGCGAATATTCGGGGCACGTTTATCTACACGGCAGCGCATACGTGCTTAACGCGACGCGCCGGGTTACAGATTGTCGATTCATATTTACATTTTAATAACTCTTCCCTTCTACCTTGTCGCTCTCGTTCTCTCTCCACGGTAACGCCTCACCCCCGTGCACCCTCTCTTTCTTTCGTAATTCCGCTCTCGCGTATTAACGCGCCCGCTTCTCGCCCCATTAAAAAAAAATCCCGCGCGTTTTAATATCGATGTTCCGCGCCGGTATCGAAATCCCCGATAATCGCTGCGACGCGAGAAAAAAGTAAATCTGGGACAGCCTACGATTTTAAAACGATCTCAATCGCCTTTAAACGAAAGTGGTAATCGTAATGATTCGATAACTTACCGTTGAAATAATGATGGGATTTGCCTTTTTTTCCCCCCCTTTTATTCAACGAGGTAGAACGTATAACTGATGTACATGATAACGCATACAATCTATGCTTAATTTAATGAATGCATGAAATTCTCGATTTAATAAGCGCGGCTCGTAGACGCATTCTACCATGTAACTCTTTATAATTATATCATCGAACCCGTCCCCGACCGGGTTACGCGTTTCCACTTCCCCTTTTTTAATCGCGCACACCGGTAATTATAATAATTCGAATTTCAAATGCACAATCCGTATCCGTGGGCCGTGCGGACGCCGCGTTATAAGCAAATATTTTTCTGGTCATCGGCCCGGGCAAACAATAATTTTTGATACGTTCGCATTACCACCCATTTCCACGGCACGTTCTCGTTATTATTATGGTTATATTCGTTGCGGGCCGCTTATTATTACGTGGCGAGTGAACATTTTATTCGTTTTAATAATTACTACACCGTGAATACGATCTTTTTATGGACGTTACAAAAACCGATCATGCGAGATATTGCACAATTTTATTCCCAAGCAAATTCAAACGCCATATAATATAGCCATTGATCAAGCGTTATTAATCGACTGCGGATTTTTATGCGAAATGGAACATTTTCGTGATAGAAAAAACGCATTTCATACATCGCACTCACCTTTTATTGTCTTGTATTTATACATTACACAATTTTTCTATAAATGTATCAGTATGTTAGACTGGTGCAAAGATCGCATAACTTGTTTACATATGTAATAAGACAGTTATTAGTTTTGTACTTAGCCAACTGTTGATAGTAATTGAAAAAGAAATTCAGATGCATACGTATTATTGAGAAAAGAGGTAAGCTCCTTTCGTTTTTTATCATGTTCGCGAGAGAACTCGGTGTGGAACGTCTGCTCGAGCGGGGAGGAACATTTAAATTTAAAAGGACCTAAGTTCGAAGTTTTAAGCAGTCGAAAGAAGAAGTTCGTTGTCCCTTCCCGCATCGGGCCGTATTTGCATGAGAAAAGTGTTCCACGATTCCTTCGATTACACACTCGCCGCCACGGTTCCCGGAGACGGTTCACATTCTAGGAAACTCTTTCAAAAAGATCTTCTTTGTAACGATGAACTTTTTAGATAGATGTGACACCGTACACGTGTCCCATTCGCAGCTCAGGTCTTGACTCCTCGTTCTTCATCCCCCTTTATTCGATCTCTTCTTGGACCGTTTCTGAAACACAATGAGAATATTTTTTCACGGATTAAATAATATTACAATGGCTGTTTAAAGAGAAGCCGGGTAGAGTTAAACGAGCTCTTAACAATTTGCTAGATATACGCGCGGTTCCGTCGCGTCAGGCGTTTCTATCGTGGAAACAAATATTTCGCGCGTGTTTCCGCGTAATCCTTTGCCCTCTTCTCTTCGTATAACGAGCCACGCGGCTACCAATGGAGGTTGATATTGGCGGTTGATTATCAATTTTCTACCAATTTGGTTCCACTTGTAGCGGCGCCAGCTTTTGTCCCACTAATCACCCCTTGGCTACCGCTTTCACCCCCCGCCGGGTACATCCGATCCGCTTTGCATATTACGCCGCGATATATCTCCACTATTCTACATCACTTGACGAGTCTCACCCCACGCGGCTCTCCTTTTCTTTTCACCCCTCGGGGAAAAAAACGTTGTTCGACCCACCAGCTGGAAAGCGCAATTGAAAAAGATAACCCCGCCGTTTCTCATCGATCAGGAATATATTTTATCGACTGCGCTTTATTTTAAACAATCACGATAACCGATGCATTCTTTCTATTGGAGATTTATTTGACGAAAATCAAAAACCGGATCGTACATGCGTTTCTTTAATCGTCGTTCCTCGAGAGTCGAAGAATGCAGTGGTAGTTTTTCGCGAATTAACGCGATGGGCAGGAGGACGCGTTCGCAAAACAACAGAGGGATCAAACGTGGACGCTTATGGGATCAGCGATCTGAAAACGTTGTGTTGTTTCAGGTGAGCCAGCTCTCACGCGCGCCACACCCCGTTTTCCACGGTTCGGATCCACCCTCCGGACCGCGTTGCCCTCACCCACGCCGCGCGGCGCGACGCGACGCGCCGAACGATCGGGAATTTCGAAATCGCTCGGTCTACCGGCTAACGAAATTTTTATTCCCTCCCGAAAAATACGAGTGACGCACAGAGTCGACAAACATTACCGAGCTCGATTCAAATTTTCACACGATGAACCGTTTTTTTCATAGCCAGCTTTTTCCGTTCCGTCAACTTATTTTACCAGCGACGTCAGAGTAACACGGCGTGTATTTATTTCCATTAAAACTGGCGTTCTGTTTAGTTTTTTTGACGTTCATTACAATTTATTCGCCATTACTGCTTAGCACGGCTATTCAAAATTCCAGCCACTCCGTCGGCAATAAACAGTGTATCACTGTTTCCTGGCCCATTACGCGTCGCCTCGCCCGCGTTTTCACGGCTTAAGCAAAATGAATCAGCGTCTGTAGCAAGAATTTCCTGAGCAGTCTTTACGACAGATAACCTTTCCCAAATATAGTATTTATTACAACTTGCGTAGAAACAGACCCGAGGTTTGATGCATAAAGAATGCGTATCATCGAACTGTGAGAAGCAATGGAAGTATGATATAAATGAAAAGAAACCTCGATTCGTATTATTTTTTAAATAGGCAGTTTTATTTTGCATAAAAATCTACTTATAAATTAATATAATCTAGAGCATCGCGTGAATATATTGTGGAAAGTTGAAAAGCGGACGAACGTATTTTAAATATTTCAGCCAACGTCAATATGGAGCGATGACCATGGCAGAGGAGCATGATCGCTTGTGACATCGATGACCAATCGAGGCAGGGGGGCAGGTGGGCGCGGTAATGGGAAAGCCATGCACGCCGGCCCGATTCGCATAAAATTAACCAGTTCGTTCGTTCATTTTAATTAACGAAACACCGAGGGCATCGCGACCGGTGTACGTCTATCTCCTCGACGGTGCGCCACGTTTTACACGGGACCGTGCGAAAAACGAGCCTCCGTCCCGATTTTACGAACCATCGCAAATCACGATTAAGAAACCTTTTAATTATTGTTATCGGACTCTTCAAATACATTTTCAGACGGCTGTAACGAAAATTTCATGATAAAACAGGAGTAATATACGAAGCAGATATTTTATCAAATTTTGATTCTCACTGTGCAATGAAACAGAGCGAAGAGTCTTAAAAATCGGCATGGAGGACAATAAGTTTTCGCGGATCTGGCCCGGGGTTCGTGCATCAGCGGTTCGTGCAGAAGATCTCGAGGACCGTATAAGGTTAAGGTGTAGAGCCGGTGGGCACGATGATGTCTCTATCCACGACGGGGCCCGTTAGGTGTGCGAGCCGATGCAACACGTGTGCACGTAGAGAACGAGACGCGTGTATGTGCAAGCATACAGGCGCCATCCGAGGCATGCAACGAGCCCGGGGTCACCCGGGGTCAGCCAGTCACGGAGTTAATTAGACGCCGTGCTTCGGGAGGCTCACATGGCAGCATGCTCAGATATCAATCGCTTCGCGGGATGGACCCGTACACTTGGCTTTTCTTAAAAGATTCTCATCCCTCTTCTCCCTCAGCCCGAAGAAAAATGGGATACAGATAGAATCGTGCGCTTAGAACGGTCCCCGATACACGAAACTTTCTTCTCCTTCTCACGACAAACATTAATTAAGCCCCACCGCGCGGAATCAGCCGCAAAATGGAATTTCGTCAAAGTAGAATACATTGAAAAAAAAATGCTATTATTGCGCGTTAGATCACGAGCCTATAACGTAAAGAAGTAGAAATTGTACAATTGCAAGTTTAATTGCGAGTTATTAAGAGTATCGCGAAGGAAACCGGGCAATTTCACAAGTCTCGTTTCTACCTTCTTCCACCGGCTTGATTATCCCGGCTAATTTGGCTAGCCCATTTGGTAGCAAGATAGGAAACGAGCCCTTCTCCGTTCGCGAGACGTAAGACCGTCGCTGTTTTACCTTTCTGCGGATTTCTTAACCGTGAAACCGACTATCTGCAATTAGCCAACCACATTTATATGACCTGATTACACCGGTCTGCCAACTTCCTTTAATCCCAAGCGAAATCTGGTAACACCCCGCTGCTACCCGGCTTCCTCCCTCGTTTTTTCCTCTCTATCTCGAGCACACGCGCGTTAATCCGTTTTTTTCGCAACTACACGCTCGAGCCGAACGAGTGGAGGACGCGAAAGGGGTGAGAGAAAGAAGAGGGAACGGTTCGTTAAGGCGTACCTAGAGTACGATAACGCGGCGGAGGATTCGAAGAACGTCGAAGCTCGTTTTATTTAAGGGTTTCGCTTACGCGGTTTCGACGAGAACGTGCGAAGTCTACGGAGATACTCGTGGCGGGAGAGATAGAGAGATGAAAACTCGTGGAATCGTGAAACGGAGGGCGCGGCATGACGGAGGGTTTGGGTATAGGTCCGCCGCCCCTGCCTACCTCGTTGGAGATGGAAGCAATAGGGATCAACTAGTATGCAAATCGCATGTAAATATCGTTCACTCTCCCGGTACCGAACCAGCTAAAGCCTCTTTCTCTCTCTCTATCTTTCTCTTGATGTCTGTGTCTCTCCGTATCGTGTCTCCCGCGCCTCTCTCTCTTACCCTCGTGCTTCACTCGTGCTCGTCGAGTACCGAAGAGAAGAAATCAAAGCAGGGGACAAAGCAAGCGCAGACGAGATCGTGACGGAATTCTTTCTCGTTCTTCCGCTACCCATTCCTGCAGCCTGAACTGGCAGCCACCCCCCTCGAAGGTATTTGCTTTCCTCCATCTCGGCTCCCCAACGACGACGTGTCCCCCGGCCAAGTGGGTGTTACCGAGCTACCATCGCGTCGTTAGTTGTTAATTAATTTATTTTTTATCCCCACGATTCGTCGCGAACGTCTTGCCTCCAGAATATAAAATATGTACAATCGAGCTAAATTTTGCATCGTGATAGAATAGAAAAATGATATTTACGTTCGTTTGCTTTATCCTTCGTAAAGACCGGTGTTAAAAAGTTTGCGGAGAAGTTCTCACGTTTCGAGATAACTTTCTGCGAAACTAAGGGAATAAGCGATATTGCGGGTACCTTTCTCGCTATTGCCAATCGTAAACGCGAGAGCCGTTCTCAGCAACTGTGACATAATGTCTCCGCGGTCGGTGACGTTGTCGAAGTTTAAACTCGTCCCTGTCTGAATCCACTCTTGCGAAATCGTCCAACAACTTTTCCAGCCGTCATCTGGTGACCGAAATAAAGAACCCAATACCTGACACGTCGAAACGAATTAGAAACGCGTACGAGGATCGATTGCTGAGTAAACTGTTGTAAATTAGTTTATTATAGACGGTCTGAACGTATCTTAGGAGAATAATCAGGCACAGAGAAGGGCTTAACAGGGTCGAGCATTAGTCGTGGAATTATATGACGACTTCTGTCTTATTCAGGGCGAGAATCGGCAGACCCTCGAGGAAAAGGGGGGAAGGAGGGTGAGAGACAAGTAAGACCTCTCTAACTCCAGGTATTTTCATCCTATATTCCTCGACCTCCGGTAGCAGGATTACTTCGAGAGACCCTGAGAGAACTTCTCCCTTTCTTACCTTCCACGGAACCACTCGGCTTCTCCACTCCGACGACGCGACGACGACGTCTTCCTTTTCTCCCTCTTCGAGCCCGTATTACCATTCTCAAAATTCTCGATAAACCGGGTCTTCCGCCCGTCACGTTTCCACCCCAAGCGCGGCTTCTATTTTCCGCGAGAGCCAACGGTATAATCGAGATTCCCGACGATGCCATTAGGTACTTTTGTTCCTTCCATTATCAGAAACTCGTTTACGCGATACGAAAAACAAATATTGAGAGCATTATTAAAGAACATTTCATTTTCTGGCACGCGAGTCTTAGTGACCGTGGAAGCGATATTATCTATGAAGGATTTGCATGGAAAGAGAAACGGAATAGAAAACAGGAACTTCTGGGCGCGAAGATGTCGAGAATCTTTGAACAGCGATACTTACAACTCCGGATTCGGCGGAGTGGCGGCATTTTCTATGCAAAAGAGTTGAAAACGAAGGACCGCGGCGGCATGCTCGCGGCGAGAGAGGGTGCCGAGAGCCGGAGCAGAAGGGAAAATCAGGAGGTGTAGCGGTTGCAGCCGACGGCACGTTTTAAT